TAATGCTCCTCGTTCAGCCAAGTGTACGAAGCAGATCTCTCAATGAAGGTACTCGTTGTACCTGACCATGGAACGCAAGGCTTAAACTAAGCACATGGTCAGTAACTAACAGATTTATTCACTAAACTGTTATGTTGGCCCTAACTTTGTAATTCCATTGTAAACAAAATCACACTTTTTTGGTGAAAGATGGATGCTTGTACCTCAAAAGCCAAGATTTTTATTATTTGTGAAGACATTAATAATGTTTCTAATAATTAATATGTGATAATGTTGAATTTCAACCATTTGAATGTGTCAATAGCATTGACTGAGGAGTTTGAGAATCTGTGAGATGCACTTTGATAACCCAACCACAGGAAACCATCAGGCAAATCATGTATTATTATTATAAGAGTCAGGATTCGGTCCAAATACGAGGAAAGAGGCAGTGAAAAACAAAACAAACAAATAATTACTATGTAATTGCTAATTCTCTGGGAACTCTCTGGAACAAATTTGAAAGGAGAACATTAAATGCAAAACTTGTTTTATGAAGACATCACTGAGTTTTCTGATTTATTTAGGGTTTAGAGTTTCCATGTTACAGCTGGAAGTTCCTCTAACCCCAAAACCCCCAGATTTTTGGGGTTAGAATTTCCATGTTACAGCTGGGGCTCACAGTCCAGGTTTTGGGGGTTAGAGGTTCCATGTTACAGCTGGGGCTCGCGGTCCAGGTTCTTGGAGTTAGAGGTTCCATGTTACAGCTGGGGCTCACAGTCCAGGTTCTTGGAGTTAGAGGTTCCATGTTACAGCTGGGGCTCGCGGTCCAGGTTTTTGGAGTTAGAGGTTCCATGTTACAGCTGGGGCTCGCGGTCCAGGTTTTTGGAGTTAGAGGTTCCATGTTACAGCTGGGGCTCGCGGTCGAGGTTTTTGGAGTTAGAGGTTCCATGTTACAGCTGGGGCTCGCGGTCCAGGTTTTGCGGGGGTTAGGGTTCCGTATTTTAGCTGGGGCTCGCCCGGTCCAGGTTTTTGGGTTAGAGGTTCCATGTTACAGCTGAGGCTGCGGTCCAGGTTTTTGGAGTTGAGGTTCCATGTTACAGCTGGGCTTTCGCCAGTCCAGGTTTTGGGGTTAGAGGTTCCGTATTTACAGCTGGGGCTCATGGTCCAGGTTTGGGGATTAGGGTTCCATGTTACAGCGCTGGGGCTCGCCCGGTCCAGGTTTTGGGTAGAGGTTCCATGTTACAGCTGGGGCTCGCGGTCCAGGTTTTTGGAGTTAGAGGTTCCATGTTACAGCTGGGGCTCGCGGTCCAGGTTTTTGGAGTTAGAGGTTCCATGTTACAGCTGGGGCTCGCGGTCCAGGTTTTTGGAGTTAGAGGTTCCATGTTACAGCTGGGGCTCGCGGTCCAGGTTTTGGGGGTTAGAGGTTCCATGTTACAGCTGGGGCTCGCGGTCCAGGTTTTGGGGGTTAGAGGTTCCATGTTACAGCTGGGGCTCGCGGTCCAGGTTTTGGAGTTAGAGGTTCCATGTTACAGCTGGGGCTCGCGGTCCAGGTTTTTGGAGTTAGAGGTTCCATGTTACAGCTGGGGCTCGCGGTCCAGGTTTTGGGGGTTAGAGGTTCCATGTTACAGCTGGGGCTCGCGGTCCAGGTTTTTGGAGTATAGAATGTGTAATGGCCATCACTAAGCAATCTCGACCCAGCCAGATGACACCACACTGCTCCATAAATCCAGGTATTACATGTTCCTTCAAGGAGGCATCACCAGTGATGGAACTTGACATCCTAAAAGTGGGGCAGTTGGAATCCACGTGGATCAGACACTTGAAGCAATGTGATCGGTTGGTTTGGAAGACAGTTCACTGGTGCTCAGGGAAGCACTAGCTTACTAAGTGGAGTTGATCAGCCCCAGGTGACCTTCCTGGTAAAATATTTGATAAATAAAGTTGGAGAGTAACAGGATCGACCGTCCTTGCATTGTCACTAATTGTAGTGCTACCAAGTAGATGAGGATTTGCGTGTTCCTCTGTTCAGTCTGCAGTTGGAGAGTGTAGGCGGTGGGATATAACAATCAGTTTGATCCTCACCTTTTAAGGAAATTAGGAAAGACAAACAGGGGTTAAGGGGGGTTAGGAAAGACACAGTAGGGTAAGAGAGATCAGTAAGTAAAGGAATTGGTTTATTAACTGAACTAGGATTTGTGGGTAACAGAGAACAAATCATATTTTTTGACCAGTTGACACTTTCTCAAGCTCAGGTATTTTGGCCAGAAAAAAAAAATCACAGTTCCGCTATCAGTTCTGACAATTGTTGGTTTAGTGTCATTTCAAGCTTCTCGGAGAACGTTTGCCCAGTGTACCAGCTGTCCTCATTAAAGTCTTGAGTTACAGTCAGCGTATCGTGCGCAGTTTAGCTTTGAGAATTAGTGTTAGCTCCAAATCCTTTACTGACAGCAAGATGGAGTATGAAATAAATTGAATAAGTGCTCGGCTGTCCTCGCTGGAGGCTCCCTTCCTAACCATCTCAAGGAACTGAGGAGTTTACATTTCATGACAATTCTAATTAAACGCTATGAGATGTGTAGGACTTTGCAATTTGTGAAATTCTCCAAATATAAGACATAATGATATCATCACCATCTATTTTGCAGTCCCCTTAACCATTATTAAATTGTCTATTAATATCTATCATTCGCTCTCTGTACTAAGACATTACTTAGTTAAAGGAACACTGCAGTGTTAGGAATATAGATGAACAATGGGGGTTTGGCTGCTTTTAGATTGTCTGTGAATGAATAGCTGAATTAGACGATTTGCATAGTAATGATGCTGATTCTAATGGGTAACTGAACAGCAATTCAAATTGTCAAAATTCTCAAACTGGCCTTTTTTGAATAGTAAACTAATTTGAGAGGAAACAGGTGGTTTTTGACAAATGAAGAACATTCAACAAATAGATTCCGTGGTGTACCGAAGAACTGTGCACAGCGGGAAAAAATCGGTTCAGCCGAACCAGTTTGTATTAAAAGAATTTAACAAAAAAAGATTTGTGAAAATGACAAACCAAAACCAAACCGGCCAATCAGAGCTAACTTAGAAGATTATGTATATATTTTGCAGTACACTGATAGGCGCATTTTTGTACTGGTTCACCGATCAAGTGAGAGATATAAACCAATTGAGGGATATACAGGGGGAGCAGAAAAAAACCCTCTTTATATATTTATAAAATATATCATAATGTATAAAATAACTGATTCTAGATTTCTTAACTGCTCCTCTATCAGTCACTTCTCACTTAATCTGTGAATAAAATCAACATTTACTGACTGTCCCCCAGGCAGCAATTGTGGCAAACCTAGCCACTTGGGACTGCCTAAGATAGAATGGTTGTGCCTATTTTCTGTTGTGTACTGCGCGCCGGTATAGTGTGGCGTCTCCGGCTATATTTAATTTATGCTGTACTGTGTATGTCTGTTCGAATCCTCCCTATTCGTTAGCATTGCTATTAAAACTGACTAAGTTGTATATTTTGAAGTAGAAAGGTAACGGTTTATGTCCTCGTGGTTTTCATTACTGTATGTTACAGCAGGGGCTGTTGGGAGGAGGACCTGGAAACGGTAGTCTCCCTCCAGTCCCCTCAACCAAAACCCCTGCTGCCCATCTTTGGAAACCCCTGTTGAGTGACCTGCTTTAAATATCAGTTATTTTTAATAAAGTGACAGTTGAGTGACCTGCTTTAAATATCAGTCTTTTTTGAATAAAGTGGCAGTTGACTCTCAGACTGTGTTTCGTCTGGTTCTTGGGAGGATTTGGGAATATTGCCTGCTTCCAGCTTTGTACTTGGTTATTGCATTCTACCAGCAGAGATCCTGGGATTATAAAATTGCAGCTCTGCAATAATTGGTGGCAAGCGGCGGGATCCAACCGTACAGCAGGAAAAACGCTGTTTATACAATTGGAATTGACATACTGGCAAGCAGAAGGCAATTGATACAGATGCATAAGTGAATGGGGACGGACTACACCATATTGAAACGGCAAACGTTAAAGGAGCTGTTGGAAGCCAGGGGTAAGATAGCCAGCAATAAGCCTAAAGCAAGACTTATTGCCGAGCTAATGGAAGGAGACCGAGCTCGTAGTGCTACACCCCCAGCAAACATGGAGGAGACCCCATTTGAACGAGAAATGAGGACAAGATTGGCATTTTGGCCCGCTCCAGTATCTCCAGAAATTATGACCATAATTTCGGCGGATGCACAGGAGTACGTGATGGCGCAAAGGAATCAAGCCTTCTCACCTCAAGCAGAAACCGCTGCTGTTTCAACTGTGGGCCAGGGAAGGCCAAAAATACCACATCATGCATTTAAAACTTTTTGCGAGGATAAAGACGAAATAGATGGATTCTTGCAAGATTTTGAAAGATTGTGTGACTTGCATGATGTAGAGCAAGCTATGTGGGTACCTTTGTTGGCAGGCAAACTGTCTGGGCGTGCAGCAGACGCCTACCGGGCTGTACCCAGAGAGGACAGCAAGAATTATGACAAGGTAAAGCAGGCGCTATTAGAAAGGTATGCCATTACCCCAGAGGCATACCGGCGCAAGTTCCGAGAATTGAAAAATGGGGACAAAGACTCACATGCGGAGTGGGCACACAAGCTTGACCAAGCCTCACAAGGCTGGATACAAGCCAGCAGAGCTACCACCATGGAAGAGTTACGCCAGATGTTGCTACTGGAGCAGTTTTGTAATGGCCTGGCACCAGAGGCTCAAGAATGGGTGAATGACCGAAATCCTCACACCCTAACCGAAGCGGCACGATTGGCCGACCAACATTATGATGCTAGGAGGCATCATAAAAATAATAACCGAGGGTATGCAAAACCCAACCCGCAACCGTTTCCAGTTATTGCTCCTGCCCCAGCGACAGCACCATCCAGACCAGCACTTGTGGGACAACCTCCCCACTCCCGTTATAATGGCAGGTCCAACATCCAGTGCCATGCCTGTAAGCAATGGGGGCACATGGCCCGGGAGTGCACCCAAAACCGGAGCCGCAAGAACTGGAATCAGCTCCGGCAGAATATGGCCCCGCGGGCAGCTGCTCATTATTATCATGCAGAGCCAACTTTGCCAGGAGTGCCGCTTGAGTCGGCTGATGAACCCCTGGGCGTTTTGCACGATGTAATGTCCATCCATGCTACTGACAACCGACAACCACATTGCCAGACCGTGACTCTGGAAGGGAAAGAGGTACAGGGGCTACGTGATTCCGGCGCTACCTTAACTTTGGTTGCCCCGCATTTGGTGTCAGGATCAGCACATACCGGGGGATCGGTAGCAGTCCGGGTAGCAGGGGGTGCCATGTACCGGCTACCAACTGCCAAGGTACATCTGAATTGGGGTGCGGGGGAAGGTATGGTGGAGGTGGGGCTGATGCACAAGTTACCAGCTGATGTTGTTTTGGGGAATGACCTGGGGCAAATGACTTCCGCTTTTGTGCCCCAAAGTCCTCGCCATGAGGCATATCCAGTGACCACCCGTCAGCAGGCTCGCACCACGGCTTCATCTTCCACACACTCTGAGGCTCAGGTAAGAGACAATGTACCCCGTGTAACCCGTGTTTCCTGGGATACCCCGACTGACTTTGAGGCAGAGGTTAAAAACGATCCCACGTTGCAAATTTATAAGGATAAGGCGACAGCTGGTCAGACAGGTTTAGAGGGAGAACAGTATGTATGGGAGAAAAATCTGTTATATCGTGTTGCTGAGCGGGTGGTAGGGGGTCTGTACATGTGACTAATAAGCAGCTTATAGTGCCCCAGAAATACCGGCAGGAACTGCTTAGAATTGCCCACGATATTCCGCTGTCTGGGCATTTAGGGATGACAAGAACGAGGTACAGATTGACACATGCATTTTTCTGGCCAGGTATATCTAGAGATGTGAGACAGTATTGTCAGACATGTGACATTTGTCAGAGAGTGGGAAAAAGGGGTGACCGCCACAAAGCGAAATTGTGCCCCCTTCCCATTATTGAAGAACCCTTTAGCAGAGTAGCAGTGGATATAGTAGGACCACTGTCCAAGCCTAGCCCTTCCGGCAAGCGGTATATTCTGACCATTGTAGATTATGCCACCCGGTACCCGGAGGCTATAGCCCTTTCCAATATACAAGCAGAAACGGTAGCCGAAGCTATGATGAAGATATTTTCCAGGATGGGATTTCCCCAAGAGATAATTTCGGATAGGGGGACCCAATTTACAGCCGAAGTGACCCACCAGCTATGGAAGTTATGTGGCATTAAGCCAATTGTAAATTCTGCCTATCACCCGCAGTCCAATGGGTTGTGTGAGCGCTTTAACGGTACCTTGAAGCAGATGCTCAGGACATTTGGGGAGTCCCATAAAGACTGGGAGAGGTTTTTACCCCATCTGCTTTTTGCGTACCGAGAAGTGCCACAGGAATCTACCGGCTTCTCTCCGTTTGAGTTATTGTTTGGGAGAAGGGTGAGGGGACCCCTAGACTTAATTAGAGAACATTGGGAGGGGGGGAGCAGTGCAGATGGAGTCCCCATTGTGCCATACGTGCTGGAGTTCCGGGACCGCTTGGAGGCTCTAACCCAAACCGTACGGGAGAACCTCCGGGCGGCTCAGCGGCGACAGCGCCGGTGGTACGATAGGGGAGCCAGAGACCGTAGCTTTCAGGTGGGACAGAAAGTTCTAATTTTGAAACCTGTCCGCACAGACAAGCTACAGGCCACCTGGCAGGGCCCATACCAAGTGGTAGAACAGAGATGTGACACCACTTATGTGATCGGCCCGTGCTCTGGGGTAGGGAAACGACGCATGCTCCATGTGAACATGCTCAAATCCTATCACCAGAGAATAGAGTAGGTAGCAGCCATCCGTGCCCCAGCCACTGAGGATTATGAGAATCTGCCCTTGCCAGACATGTTAGAAAAGGAAGATTCTGCAGAAAACGCTACAGGTGTGCAGCTGGGGGAGCGGCTAAGTCTCCAGGAGCGTGCCCAGGTACAGGAGTTGATTGCGGCAAAAGGTGCTACCTTCTCCAATTTACCAGGGTACACTCTGTTAGCTACCCACCGAGTAGAGACCCCAGGACAGCTCCCTATGAGACAGACTCTGTATCGTATCCCTGAAGCAGTAAGGGAGCACATGAGGAAAGAAATTGAGGAAATGTTGCAGTTAGGGGTTATCGAACATTCAGATAGCCCCTGGGCATCACCGGTAGTGCTAGTACCCAAGAAGGATGGCACCACGCGGTTTTGTGTAGACTACCGGAGGCTCAATGACAAAACAGTGTCTGACGCCTACCCGATGCCCCGTATAGACGAGCTGCTAGATAGGATGGCAAGAGGCCAGTATCTCACTACCATTGATCTGTGTAAGGGATACTGGCAGATTCCACTAGCCGAGGAGGCCATCCCCAAGTCGGCGTTTGTCACCCCGTTTGGCCTGTATCAATTTCGGGTCATGCCTTTCGGGATGAAAAACGCTCCGGCTACCTTTCAGAGGATGGTAGATCGGCTACTGGACGGGTTCCAAGAGTACGCCTGTGCGTACTTAGATGATATAGCCATTTATAGCCAGACCTGGGCAGATCATTTGAAACATATTAGTGTGGTCATTGACCGTATTGGAGAGGCAGGGCTGACACTAAAACCTAGCAAGTGTCACATAGGGATGGCAGAGGTGCAGTACCTGGGTCACAGGGTAGGATGCGGACAGCAGAGGCCCGAACCGGCCAAGATAGAGGCAGTAGCTAAGTGGCCTACCCCCAGGACAAAGACACAAGTATTGGCGTTCCTTGGTACCGCTGGTTACTACAGAAAATTTGTGCCCAATTACAGCGCCCTGGCCAAACCCCTGACGGACTTGACCAAGAAAAACTTGCCACGACAGGTCAACTGGGCCCCAGAGTGTGAACAGGCATTCCATGAACTAAAAACTGCATTAACTAAGGCTCCTGTGTTAACTGCCCCTGATCCAACTAAACGATTTCTTGTTCACACAGACGCTTCCATGTTTGGATTGGGGGCAGTACTGAGCCAAGTGGGAGCTGATGGCGGAGAACATCCCGTAGCTTACTTAAGCAGAAAATTACTACCAAGGGAAGTAGGCTACGCCGCCATCGAGAAGGAATGCCTGGCCGTGGTGTGGGCCCTCAAAAAGTTACAACCTTATTTGTATGGACAACCATTCTCCTTGCTCACAGATCACAACCCGTTGGTGTGGCTACACAGGGTGTCAGGAGACAATGCCCGGCTGTTGCGCTGGAGTTTGGCGCTGCAGCCGTTTGATTTCACGATCCATTATTGCCCTGGAAAACAGAATGGTAACGCCGATGGGTTGTCCAGACAGACAGAACTTGAGAAATGATCTGTGAGCACTCCCCCGGACATCCCCAAGCCGATCCGTTGGGATCAGACTGTGTATGCCGGCTTGGTTTTGGGGGAGCATTGTGGCAAACCTAGCCACTTGGGACTGCCTAAGATAGAATGGTTGTGCCTATTTTCTGTTGTGTACTGCGCGCCGGTATAGTGTGGCGTCTCCGGCTATGTTTAATTTATGCTGTACTGTGTATGTCTGTTCGAATCCTCCCCATTCGTTAGCATTGCTATTAAAACTGACTAAGTTGTATATTTTGAAGTAGAAAGGTAACGGTTTATGTCCTCGTAGTTTTCATTACTGTATGTTACAGCAGGGGCTGTTGGGAGGAGGACCTGGAAACGGTAGTCTCCCTCCAGTCCCCTCAACCAAAACCCCTGCTGCCCATCTTTGGAAACCCCTGTTGAGTGACCTGCTTTAAATATCAGTTATTTTTAATAAAGTGACAGTTGAGTGACCTGCTTTAAATATCAGTCTTTTTGAATAAAGTGGCTGTTGACTCTCAGACTGTGTTTCGTCTGGTTCTTGGGAGGATTTGGGAATATTGCCTGCTTCCAGATTTGTACTTGGTTATTGCATTCTACCAGCAGAGATCCTGGGATTATAAAATTGCAGCTCCGCAACAGCAATCATCTCTTTTCTGGTGATGGAATCCAGAATCACAAATCTAAACAAAACATGTTCGGCCATTGCGTGGCTTTTTTGTGTTCGTGACACTTTGTCTCAGAGCTTGGAATCTGACCAACCAGCCCAAATTCGGACCAATTGCAGTCTCCAAGTCTAATCATCTCTTTTATGGTGCCATGGGCAGGGCCGGTGCAAAGAATTTTGGGTACATAGGCGAAGATGCATTTTTCCGCCCCCCCAAAAACATCTTCACCCATGTGCCTCTTGGGTTTCTTATCCCGTCTTTTAAATATCTGACTCCCTTTAGTGTATTTTATCTCCTATTTTTGTCTTTGTGTCTCCTATCTCTCCTCTTTGTATGATTCTTACATCCTCCAACATTTTGTGTCTTACTCCTCCCAGCCCCTTTGTGTGACTCCTTTTCTCCCAGCCCATTTGTGTCTTTTATTCTTCCCAGCTCCTTTGTGTGTGTCTCTTTCCTTCTCAAGCCCCAATGTGTGTTTCTTTCACATCCAGCCCCTCCCCCCGTCCCTTAATGGTCCCCTCCCTTCTCTGACCCTTACTGTTCCTTTCCCTTCCACCCTCCTTTCCCTGTCCCTTAGTGTTCCTCTCCCCCCCTCCCTCCTTTTCCTGTACCTTAGGGTATCTCTCCCCTCCTCTCCCTGTCCCTTGGTGCGCCACCCACCCCCATAGTGGTCCCCTCCCCTTCCTGGTGTGCCTCCTACCTTTTTTTGTAGCGTGGCTGAGCGGAGCGAATCCTGGTACAGTGAGCTTTTCCTGTAAGTTCTGCCAGGTACAGGAAACAGAAGTTCCTGTACCACGGTACACTCCGCTTGGCCACGCTACAGTCAGGGGTGTAGAAACACTGACAGTCACACACACTCAATGACAAACACACAGACATCTCTGACAGCCAGACTCACTTATCTGACACACTCATTCATTGACAGACACTCACACGCACACTGACAGACACAAACACTGACAGACTCATTGAAAAACACACTGACACACACACACACACACACACAAACTCACAGACACTGACAGACACACGTACTCACATGCACACACTGACAGACACACTCACTCACACACACTGACAGACACACATACTCATACACACACTGACAGACACACATACTCACACACACACTGACAGACACACTCACTCACACACACTGACAGACACACTCACTCATACACACACTGACAGACACACATACTCACATACACACTCACTCACACACTGACAGACACACATACTCACATACACACACACACACACACTGACAGACTCACTCACACTGACAGACACACAT